TAGAAACGGGTACTCCATACACAAGGAGTTGCAGTATTTATAGGAAACAGTCGCTGTGCTAATGCATACCTATGATAATTGACGTCTCGCCCTTTATCTAGTATAGTTGTCGCTTGTACGCTAGTTACTTGCTAGCCAACATGCGGGTCGTGATCTGCTGAACTTTTATCATCCGTGTTGGATTTGGGCGTAATGATTGCTCAACCATCTGGCTCCCTGACGCGTTTGCTCCCGAGTGGTGAATTACTTTGGCCAAACTGAGCCTCAGTCCTTGCACTTGTTTATGGACTGGGGCCAGTGAACCATGACTGAAGCAACCCGTGGCTCACACGATTGTCACCTCTCGCGAGAATTTCGACCTCACCAACTTTGAATGTCCGGCCCGGTGTCGTCTAATGAGCCGCTATCTGAGAATTGGCGTCATTTCTCCGCACTTCTACCGCGTGTTCGGCAGTTCGCGTTTTGAGAAGACTTCCAGTTTCTGCGACGGAGTTGCTTTGTCCGCAACTGCGTCAGAGCCGATAGATGTCTCAAGATTTTTCTTGCCGTAGCAGTGGGTCTTCTGGTTTCATTGCCTGACCGGTATATAGACTGTTATAGCATGTCAATAACTTGTTGCCACAGAAATCGTCTGCACCTTTATGCTCTTGTTCAACCATTTCAAGTTTTTTCCTGTTTGTTTTCTTTATTTACACAGGGACCTTGCTTCCCTCCTTCTTCTATGGATTTCCTCTCGTTCTCAACACATGCTGGCCGTCAACTCTAAGAGAGACGCTGAGGCAAAGGCCACTTTGTCGACTCTTCTGGACCTCAGCCAGTCAACTTTCAAGGTATTATAATTTGCCCTTGCACCGTCCATTCTGTCTGCAAAATATTACTGGACTGAAAGTACACTTTGGTCGACAGGTGTCGTGAGAAGGGTCATTCTCGGTTTATTAACTGTCGTCAGCGAGTCGACTTGTGGTAGGGCTTGGGAGCCGGTTAACCATGGCGCCAGACGCTCTACCATTTCTTTCAATTACTCATGTTGTATCAACTGGTACGACACTACAATTTTCTGCACCGATTTTCGATGAGGTCCGTCGTCTTACTCAGAGAGTGGTGGACGCGGGGACGGTGAAATAGGCATGATTTAGTTTGTAAACATAGTGTAATTGTCAATAGAAGTGAATATGCGAGTTCCTGGAAGCAGTTCAGAAGAAGAGCGACCACTAAAAGAAGAGTTTTATTTTCCTGACGTTTCGGATATCGTCGGGAATCCTTAATCATAGGTAATGGTACAATAGTCTGAGTCATGCGCAGATAGGTGTGAAACATGCACAGGTTGCGCGGTATTTATAGTTTGTAGCGGTCATCCGCGTGCGGACTATAATTATCCGCTCCTGTAGCCACCGCTTGGGCCTTCATTGGTGCGGTGATGACTTGATACTTCACATTCGACTCACTAATTGCCGCGATTTCCTTGTCCGTGTCGGTTTCGGGCTTGGTAATTGCGCGACAATTATGCTCGCTGTCGTCAGACTTGTTGCTGGGCTCGGCCCCTTCCACATGACTGATTCTCTTGCTCAGGCAATTTCTCAGTATACAGTAGGGAAAGGCCAAATCATTGCGCTTGTTGATAGACTGGGGACGTGTGCAACATCTACCGCATTCTGTCATCTCTAACCGGCCTGGTACGCTGTCAAGACGGAACCAGGAAAACCGTAGGTGGGATTGGGCGCCGGTAGCTGCCTTAGTGCGAACCTCGGCTTACGGCACGAACTGGCCCCATGCGCGGAATTCGTGCATCTCCAATAAGGACTGCTATGTCCCATGATCTATTGCGACCCGTTTTAGGGGCATAACTGCACAAACACACAAACTCAGCAGCGATTGTCAGCCTCTTCTTGTTACAGACTGCTGCTTGGTAAGCGAACCCGATCAGTACTCTTGACTGAACAATGAGGCCTCAGTGGCATACTTAAACAATATATGTCGATTCTTTCCCTAATTTGTACTTTAAACCCTCTAAATCTGATGAGTGCTCATGCACTCGGTTTCCCAGGTCCTACATGTACAGATATGATTTGAGAAAGTAGAACATGCTCACAGATTTTTGTCGGCAATCATATGACAGTAGTTTATTTGCCGTAAGAACCTTGTTTTCAATAATATATTGGCAGACATCGTACATTGATTGTGTTCTCGCTATACTGTATGTCTGCCGTGTGGCGCTTCCATACTAAACACTCAGAAAGTTCTTTTTTTTTCCAGTGAGCTTTTTTGTGCTTTAAACAAGTTGTTTAGCATGATCTGTTTTCGATTTTTTCCTGCTGGCCGGCCGTCCTTAACACGCAGCTAACTATTTTCTGGATACCCCTTCCATCACTCTTCCTCCCCAACAGTTCAGCGATTGGCTAGACGCGCCCGTCCTTCTTCAATGGCTCGACCTTATCCGTATCTACCTGAAGGAGTCCAGCGCTAGCAGAGATGATGTCAGCGCTGGTGTGGAGTCTTTCTGGCCACAACTCGTCGGTCAACCTGTGACGACAGCAGATCACTTTCTGCGTTTGCATGTGAGCTGGCTGCTGACAGCCTTAGAGCTGTCTTCTGCCGCCTCCATCAAGACCTCATCGCTTGCCTCCCAACGTCTTCAGGCCCT